TGGCCACCCCAGAAGGCACCTCCAGGGTGGCATGGCCCACACAGCCCAAACCGAAGGGTGCGCCAACATTGCAAAGACCACAATTCTTTCTGATCCCCAACCGAAGGTGGTCGCATGCAAACTAACGCCAGGGCTGTTGCAAAATGGCAGCAACTGACAAATCATCCACCAACAAGATTCTGTTTTGCGGCAAGAATCCAGATGGCATGTCGCCACGACTGAGAGCATCAGCCCATGTATTGCGAATCCCAGCGATGTGACTCAAGCTCAAAGAGACGCTGTGCTTGCAGCAGTAATAGCCTAAACATTGCAGCACCCAACACAACGGTTCGCTCTGTGAAAGCATCTTGGCCGAAGCCGCTGTCACACCAGCATTATCACACAATTGCGAAAACTGAAGAACAACATGCTTGGCCACCACATCTGCTTGCTGCACTTGAAGCAAAAGAAGCACCAATTGGGCAAGAGCTTCCAATGCTGCGATACACTTCTGCAAAGATGGGCCATTGCTCGCTTTGAACCACCCAGGCAAACTGCAGCGATCTAATTCCAATCTGAACCATTTGACATTAGATGCTTCCATTCGACAATGTGTGGGCAGCCACCATCCGCCAATCCCAGCTGTTGAGTCCGTTGCAAAAGCATCCGCTGCACTCAACCCAGTACTGTAGGGGGATATCTGCAAGGGGATTGGAGCATGATCTTCAATAGATCTGATCAGCAATTTTGCCACATGCACCGAGCTGGCTGTTGTCCTGGTGGAAACGCAGTCTCCATTGAAGAGTACCACAGAAACCCGATCTTTTCGGATTCGGGGAGTGGACAAGGCAGGCGAAGATAAAGATGTGACAACCCCACCGGCAATGGAGTGCAACTTCCACCCTTTGCAAATGTCGCAAGAGGGAATATCAGCTTTCACACGCAAGCCATCACTCAATGCTGCCACAAGTACTGCAAAATGCTCCAAAGCCAACAACCGTGTTACCGCTTGCGGTTTGTAAAGCAAGCGGTAAAGCTCACTGAGCCAGGGTCTTAGCCAGATTCCGCTTTCAAGCGACACCCAAAACCGTACTCAACCAAGCAGCTGCCCTGTACTGAAAACAACGTTCCAGGTCCAAACGCGCCAGCACTCATGAGGGTTTGATGTGTTTGCCAGGTCAACACAGGCTCGGGACTAAGTATACCGACCGCACAAACGCTTCACGCCTGCCGCGCCGAGGCGACGGTCGGGTCCGCATCAGCTTCTAGCAGCTGTTGGGCCGCAGCCTGGGTTTGGTTGGGGGTGTCTCCATGGGATCCCATGCATCTCCCAGATTCCCATGCGAGTATTTGCGGCTCATGCTTGCAAACGCCGAAACAAAGATTCACAAAATGTTCTATACTTAATATATGTAGATTCCATTATATTACCGTATATTTTACTATAGTCCATTACACTATACTATATCATATTACATTACATCAAAATATGTAAGTTCATATTATGTTGTCTTATTATATTATAATGTATTTAATATATATATATATATATTATAGAGAAAGAGAGAGTAGATGTTTTTGTAATGTGGGATGAGACAGTGTTGCGAAAGGGTCCTCAGGCCTCAGGTCCCTTGGCTTTGCTCCAAGCCCCGAGCCACATGGCCGGCTGTGGCTGCCAGATGCAGCGGCCTGGCAGGACTCCAAACAGGCTCTTGTTGGAAATGTCCCTGTCTGCACAAGTATGTTCTTTGACAGTGTTATGGTTTGACGCCTTACTACAGTAGCCTTCTAGCCGCTAGCCACCCACAATCACTGTTGCATTCCTGCACGTCCAGCTCCCACCATTCGCCAGCTCATTGCTTCTGTGCGTCTGGCCCAGTGTCGCTTCGCGGTTTCAAACCGGCCACAAGGAACTGCCGCCCGGAGGCATCCAGCTGGAACTGCGCCTGGGACCGGTCATAAGTAAATATTGGGTGGAGCTTGTTGGTAAGACTGAATTCAACGAATTGGAGTTTCAATCCAGAAATCCTCAACTTCTCAGAGCAAATAAATCACCGATGTTCGTCTGCTCAAGACTTGCAAGATTTTGGATCATCGCACTGACTTGGCTCCGCGCACGGGCTCTCAGGAGTTGCCTGGCCGGTTGGGACGCGGCTCACTTGATCCTGGAACTTCAGCACTTACCACTCCTGGATAACCCAACCTTTACATGTCTGTCCTGTCTCGCTGGTCTCTTTGTCTCAAAGCTTTCATCTTGACAGGGTTGTCCTTGTATCATTCCTTCAGACGATTAGGACCCAGAACCCAAAGCGTCTCACGTCCAACTTATGCTTTGGACTCAAAACCATCGAACCCACTTGGCCACGAAAACGACCCGTCTACGCCTGATCACCCGGCTGTGTCCGCCCTCTGCAGCACTATGCAGCGCGGCGCCACCTCACGGAGAGTGCGAGCCTCTCTGGCGTCAACCCGAAAGAGTTGTTGAGGTCAACCCTCTCTATTTCGGAGACGGGTCTGTCATGCGTTATCCTAATTCCTGCAAAGAAAAAGAAAGCCACCCTTTCAAATGAGAAGACAGTTCGAAAGCTTTTGTCAGTGCATGGTTAGGTGTCCTCTCACTGGAGATCGTTTCCAAAGCAAGGAGAAAGTCCAAGCAACTGACGCTGCAAAAGCCAAGATGGTACCTCCATGGTCTTTCTGCTCAAGCCTGGCTCCTTTGGCCTCGAGCAAAATCAGTGGCCAAAGGCCCAGTGGCTGATCCCAACTTGAAACTCATCTTCTACAATGAGGGGCTGAGAGAAACAAGCCTTTTCCAAAAATGAAGTCACCTCGCTTGCTCTTGAAGTCATGAGAATGTCAGAATATTCTAGAGTAAATATTCAAATCTTAGATCTAGAGCACAAAGAGAAACAATGCAAAAGAAAGCTCAACCTTCCACTGTCATGGGCGACCTGTTCCATAACGCAAAACAATCAATCAACGTCTCAGCTTGCGGCCAACAACTTCTCCAGCACAGCCTCCCGCCCAAAGGAGGCAGCCAAGTGCAGGGCACTTTGCCCACGCCTTGAAATGAAAAAAGTGGCCACGAAGGTAGCAAAGGGCGACGATGAGCCAACAACAGCTGGTGTGGCTTTCAGATGCCTTGGTTGCCAAGCATTCCATTATGACCCCCTCATTCCAGCAGATAAAGCAATCCAACTGTCACTCGAAGCTTGGCCAAAACGATCTCATCAACCAATGGGTTGAGAGCCACGTCTCTTGGGGATCTATCCGTTCTCTTAGGCTTCTCATGCCAAGTTTCTCTGTGGTCGCCTGCACCGGCTCTGCTCGGGCATCCAAGAGCTCCTGGAGAGCCTAAGCGAGAGTTTTTTGCGCAGATGTTTTGCCCAAAAACACGTGTGCAACTGTGCAACTGTGCAACTTGCCTTCGCCGGTGAGAACAGATGCGCAGACGGAGTGCAACATGACGTCCTACAGGGTGGTGTATCTCTCCAGGCAACATTTATGCAGCACCAGCGAACAGCACGCAGATAAAACAAACTTGCCCAACTAATGTGGCTAAAGATGTGTGGCTCAACTTCAGGCACTTCTGAGAACCAATCCTCAGGGATTCCCGATTCCAACCATCATGTGACGGTGCAAAACTCTCCATAGACAAGCCCTCAATCATCCTGAAACTCTCGTGAAACTCTCCTCCTTTGATCTGAGAGAATCGATAAGAACCCTTAACCCTTCAGACCAATTAATTGCGTTCGCTCGGCCACTTGGGTTCTGGCGGAAAGCTCCCCCTCTTGTGCAGCTTGGACGAGCAAAGGCCACTCCTTAGGAGAACTTAAATGGATGGGCAGTTTCCTTGCACTTATGGGGCAGATTGATTTGTGGAGGTTGCGAAGGTAGATGTTACAGTCTGGAAACGGTGGAAAGATTGGGTCAGTGCGAGGAAGTGACTTGATTCATTGGCTAGTTAGTTACTACAAGGTACTACTTTGCTCTGCTGAAATGTCCAACTAAATGGAAATACAAAAGTTGCAGTTCCCAATGGTTTTCAGCCTCCTGCCGTGGGCGTCATGTTGTGGGGAGCGGCAAAAGCTACACAACCTAATCGCAACCTGCGAATGAACCCATGATTGCACCGTTGATGAGCCCAACAATACACAAGAGTCACAAAAAGTGCATAGAGTTACCAACCTCTACAGACCGATAGACACGCGATGTGATGAAACTTACTAGTCGAGATATTCTTTGATGCTGAGTGCGCGAGGAAGCTCTACTGCAACATCTCTGCAGTCTGAAGGAGCCGACAGATCTGCTTCCTTGAGCACCCACCTGGTACAAAGGCAAAGAACCTTGCAAGTCACTCCTTTCCAGAATTGTTTTCTATCTGTACGTGTATATATGAGTATATAATATATGATATATATATATATGTTTTTCAATTGTATGCATAGTTGGGGCTGACTGCCCGTTGAACTGTTGAGATTCTGGTAGGTGGCACTCAAAAACTACAGGCCAAAATGTGCAACCCGCAAGTTTGCGAGATAGCAAAACTCTGCCTCTTTGACACCACTGACGCAAAACATGTTACAGTATTCTCCCCAAGGATGCCCACTTTAGGGGAACACAAAAACCATCTTCCCCGTCTTCTCTAAAGTGTTTAGCAATCCTTTTGCTGTCGTTGTTGGGTGCCCGGGCACCCCAAACCCGGTGGTCAAGGTTACAGGTTGAATGCTCCAGGTGCGTCCCGACGTAGACTACCTGGCGGTCAAGCGCCACAAACGTGGTGGTTGCTCAAAAGAACCCTGAAACGTCTGAACCGAACCCATCAGTTTGCTAAGATCTCAAAAGACACTCATGACTCATGACTGGTATGATTGGTGGGGGACACCATGGGACACCCAACCAAAGGTCCATGCACGTCCCTTAAGATGTTGAGTTTGTGGAAAGTTGTTCTTTGTTGGCATTCCGAAGGTTTCCTGCCGAATGTTCATTGGCTCACATTCTTGCCAGCAGCAGTGCAGGGTTCCTTGCAGGTCCCAACAAATGAATACAAATGAGTCATGAGGCTTCACAATGAACCTCAACCCCATGCCAAGCAGAGGCAATCATGGGATGGGAGCCCATCCTAGTCATGAGTTCCGGATGCTGGATATGTTGAACACCTCTTTTTCAACCACTTGGCAGTCCCAGGACCAACTTGGTCACGGTGCTCCTCGATTTGGAGACTCGTTGCTTCACTGGCGCCCCCGGGGCACAAAGACCGAGGCAAACTCCAAAAGCTGCGAACAACGGTGAAAACCGAGCCATTCAAGTAATAAACATACTTCAGGCACTCGTTCAGGAATGCCATGAATAGCCGTGACCATCATCCACCACCCCAGACTTGCAGTAAACGTGAAGCCAACAGTCTTGAACATCACAAGCAGCAGCCCTAGAGTCATGGCGAGCTTCAAGTACTCGAAGCAGACCTTGTACATCTTGAGGCCCACAAAAAAACACCAAGACCAAAAGGCAGGGCCAAAATCGGCTCACCAGCCCCACAAAAAAACAAACATCAGCACCAGGGCGACCGCTCACTATACGGCCTTGATTTGGTGGTCTGGAGCTCTGCTGCCGGAGCTGTGCTGGGCAAAAATTGGCAAATGGAGGACCAGCTGACTGGTTCATCAGCTGAGCTCCGGTCTTGATCCAAAACTTCCATGACAAAATCAAAAGACTTTAGTGTTCTTGTTTAGGGCACCGATGCTCCTGGATGTGTACAGTCATCAGCATTTTACTTTGTTCGCCCGTTTCGAGCCAAATCTTTCTACTGGACGCCCTCTGGATGAGGGCGTCAATGCAATTTCCTCAGCCACCTACCCCATTAAGCGAGCAACTACTGAAAGCACGAAACACCACTCACCGGTGCCAACACTCAAGTCAGAAGTCCTTTATCGTTCTCAGCATTTTGTACAGTACATGTAAATATATATACATATATTTATATATATTTAAAAATATATATATATATAATAAACAAAAAAAATGTTTTCGAATATACTTTTGCCAAGGTTCGTGCATCTCAAAGTTGAGTCATGCTGACAGTAAACATAATTGTCTCAGCGTACAAAATAGACAATAAATTACAATACGATAAAAACCAGCGTCACAACAAAGAAGCAAAAAAATCGTGTCCACAATTGGATCGAAGTCCACCTACTATTCGGGGTTGTTGAGGAAGCACTGTCTACGCAAATTGTTTGGGGCGATCTGTCCATCTGAGTCCATCTGGTCAAGATTGCATATTTGATGTCCCATCTCGGTGTCCAAGAAAACAATGTTATATAATGTTCCCATGTAAAGATGTATCAAAATATAAAAGGATCTATAAAAGGTATGTTCCGTCCAGCGCGATGGACATACCACCGACGCGTTTCACCGGATCATGCGGCGCGAATGGTAGTAATATATAAAAATGCCGACAGTTTGGAAACGAAACGACTCAAAGTATACATATATATATATACATATGCATGACATACGCAAAACAAACTCAATTTCCCAAATATCGGAAACATTTGCGTGGCGACAAAGCAAATAAACAACCCCCTCCCCAGCCCTCCCCTTTCGCACACATGAGAAACTACCTATGCAAACAATGACCATCGACCACAGGCACTTCTCCAGGATGCTGCACCTCTCACGATGCCAGGCTCAAGTGTGTTTGACTTGCTTGCCTTTGCTGCTCAACATCAAAGTCAGGACTGGCCGGCGGCTAGAGTGTCATATCAGTATCATAGACTGCCGAAGGCCGCACCAACAAAAAATCCCCAACAGCTAGGCGCGAAGTTCCACCTAATAGGCAATGGCACCATCGCAAGTTCAGCAACAAGCATCGTGGCTTTGCCAAACAATGCTAGTTCAACAGCGTGCACTTTTTCGATGCGCCGTGCGGGCACACCAACACTCACACGACAATACGTCGGCACTGCCGACATACAGTATGTGCAAGCAGGACAACGCCACTACACTACAAGTAAGAACCAGCAAGCCTGCTCCGGAGCCTGCTCTGGAGTCTGCCAGCAGGTCAGCGTGACAGCGTGACCCGACTGCAGCATCTCAGCGTGACAACACGTCAGCATGTTAGCGTGACCCATGCCAGCGGGCCAGCTGGACAACAAGTCAGCGCGACACCACTCAAGCATATCGTTAGCGCATGGGCGTGGCAACACCTCAGCGCGTCAGAGAGATACCGCATATCGCATATCTGCAAAGTGCTCCGGAACTTGCTCCGGAACCTCCTCTGGAACTTGCTCCGGAACCTGCTCCGATCTCCGAAGGCTTTACTATAGCTAAGCTGTTGGGGAATCATGCGTGTTCGGATTGCCTACACTCCCCACCTGCAAGACAGCTTCACATCTACAAGCAATTGAGTTGCTTGAATGCAAGACACAATCGTCGCCCAGCTGAGCCGCCCGGCACAGAACTGGATGCCAGGAGGAGTGGCACGGCCCAGAGCAGCACAAGGGTCCTTCAGGGCAAATGGGTTGTTATGGTTACTATAGCATCTTCCTAACTTCAGCACGGTGCAAACGATCATGGACACTGATCATCAGTGCCACCATCCTCTTCAGAACTGATCGAAAGCGTAGCGGACTTTCTACGATCTTTGGTGCTTGAAACCGCTACACTGGCTAATGCCTATTTCTCACCCTTTGATTCACTATGGCTGGTCTCTTGCAGAAAAAGGAAACCTGACCTTGATGAATCTCATTGAATTTCTGTGGCTGAAGGGCTTCTGGCTGGTTTCCGTGAGTCCAACCAAGAAAGGCAGGAGAAGAAAAAGAATCGATATCGGATGATATCGGTATTGCAAGCTCACTCAATCCCACCTCCCACGCGATGTACTCTGGGTTGTTGCCCGGCTCAGCCTTGGGCATCCGGGCAAGTTGATGAGTTTCGCGCTTATATAAAGGTGCTCAATTTTCCTACCCAAGATGTACCAACCATAAAACCTTACCCAGAATGCGGTTTTGGAAACAAGTTCCTTCACAACAAGATTCGGAAAGGCTATCCTAGCAGACCGGTGCATTTGAACCTCCCCGTTTGCCAAGCCACCTCTCTGGTTGCGACCCCAAAGAAAAGAAGTGAAAGCCAGAGAGGGAGTGATGAACTGGATCGTACTACCTTGGTACCTACATTGATTCTGTTGTCGCCCGAGACTCCCCATGCTCGATCCACCCAGGGCACCCACGCCAATCCACCAAGCCTTCCTGGTGGAATGTGAAACCAGTGAAACCCTAAAACAAGGAACGTACTGCAGAATAACAGAATAACCGTTCACCACCCTGCATGACATTGTGCTTTCACAACCACACCTTTTGCTTCACGTGTTTTCTTCAAGGTTCATACCTAGCCTAAGCAAGGTCCTTCACCCAAACAGTTCTGCATGTGAATAATGAAACACTCTACTTTTTGTTTTGCAACATTTTGGGAGTCCCTTGGGTCGAAATGCGCCTGCCCTCCAAGAGCAGGAGCCAGGATTCCTCAAGCATGAGAGAAGGGCCATGTCAAAACGGTCTGATAATTGCACGCCACATTTCGTCACTTGGAAGATGTTTAGGACAGTATGATGCCACTAAATACTTGGGAGCATGCCCAACACTCTTGTTTCGTGAAAGAACACAATCTTAATCTGTCCACTGGCCAATTCACATCTCCCGTTGCAGTTGCTTTGATGAGGCCTTTCTTGGAAAACCCTCCCCTGTGCGATGCTACCGACTCGTCGGGCCTCATGGGAGTGTCTGTCGACATGAGACGCCTGCAGAGCGCGGAGAGACAAAGCCTGGAAGCAGGATGACTTGCCTTGCGACATGAGCAGGTGTGAGATGAGGTGGTGTGAGGAGAAGGCGGGAGGAAGAAGCAGGAAGGAAGACGAGCGAGTAAGAACCCTGCACAAAGATGTGATAGTTAATTTTTTTTTTATTTTAATTCTAATAGCTTCTTGTTACTACTAGTAAGGCACCTGTTATTAGTAGCGATGCACTTGTTACTAGATGTGGGAAAGAACAATCAACTTCTTGAGCCACGACCGCAACCCAGAACATCTATATAACTTGGACCGTGGACGCTGTGGACACCACTCTCACCTGTGCCTTCAGTCCCAAGGAGAAGATCCACCGCGCCGCGAGGTCTGTGGCTAATTGTGTCCAGGGCCACATCTGTTTCACCCTCCAGCGAACCTCCACAAGACACAATGATTCACTTTGGAACTTGGAACATCAAGAGGAAAAAAACAAATATGTTTGTTGTTTAGCTCTGTTTGCCACAAATCCCTCTCTTTGCTGACCCTGAAGCGCTTGGAATATCTTTGGCTTCTGGCACAAGATGTGACGCTTCAAGAGTCTATTGCCAGCTTGCGGAAAGCATTACAGTAGTGATTGTTTGTGTGTGTGTGTTACTACCTTTTATATATATATATATACATCCTTTTACATCCTTTCAGACCAATTTCCAAGGTCTAGCGCAAAAGACGTGTGCCCCTGTGCCCATGTTTGGAAATGTGTTTGATGAAACATTGGCATCATCCACTTTTACCTTGCCTTGCGAAGAAATTTGAAACGTCTCAGGAAAAGAACAACACCAAAAACTGATCGCTAGCACCAGTACCGGTAGCAAAATCACTGAAATGACGTGCGTCTCTGCACCTCGTCAATGAGTCCAGTCGATCCATTGCCGCTGTTGCCCGTGTCTGGCCTGGCAAGCGGTGGACGAATGACTTCCATACAGGACCAGGTGAATTGGATCCCCGCAATGCACAAGCCAAGGTCAGGAGCACTGACTGAGGGAATGGTTTGAACAAACGGTGTCTCAAAGCGAGTGTGGCATATCTCTGCACAAAACAGCGCAACCGAACCAACCAGTGAGAACTCAACAGATTGATAGTGTAGCAGGAAAACCGCGCCTATTCACAGTGAAGATGTGGAAGTCCGAGCTGTTGTGCTGTAGATAATCTAAGTGAACAGGTTATGAGCAGGAAATGCAGCCCCAACTTTGCGTTGAGTATCCCCCTGCAGATCAACACGGAACTCAAAAACCGCTGGGTCGTAAAGGAACATGATCTTCCACTGGTCAATCCTCAGGGTCCACTTGCGGGTATCTCAAGCGGGGTCCAAATGGAAGAGTGCTCTGTTCCGGTTGTGTCACATCTCCAGGCCAAGTGTTAAGTGTTTAGGTCGTGATACGCTTTCTTTTGTACAGAATCCCTGGCAATGCTCGCTGAAGGTCATTGGAGCCTAAGACGACTCTGAGTCATTGAGCCGTACCCTTCAGCGTCAATAAGCTTGGTGACTCCTACTCCCCTGATTAAGCAACGAACGCTTCAGCGGAAGCTGCCCGTGCACCTGGACTCTCTGGCTTGGCCCTCGAAAACACATATGATTGCTCAATGCTCGATACTGGGCCTCACCAAGACGCTACTAGGGGCTCCTGGCCTTACTACTAGGAACAAGAAGCTACTAGGCAATGCTCCAGATTTTGAGGAAACTGTAAAATTGTTGATGCACTTTACACGGAGCTCAAAGAAACTAGCGTTCGGTATGACCTGTCAATACTATCCTCAAAGTTCACACCAATCAATCGCTAGCCATGGCTCGAGCGCGCCTTCCCCGCACCATTCACACGCCCATTGTTCACACGGTGCACCTACCGAAAATGGCAGAAAGAATCATCAGAAAGAATGTGTTTGAGCGTCGCACTAGTCGATCGAGACATTTAGAAATTCCTTGGGCAAAGGGTGTTTGTTGGATAAGATCTCGATCATAGCCTCAAGAATAAAAAGTGTGCTGAACAACACGTAAGCAGCACCTATAGCCTATGCTGCCAACAAAAACTTCAAGTGTGAGCCAAACACTCACTGGGCATTCAGGTGTGTTGTGTACTCTTCATCAAACCCCTCCACCGCGCATCACCCCGCTACTCCCTCCAACCTCCTCCCCATGCTCCTCCAAGAGCTGAGAGAACATCCTCCATTCACCTCCGCGTTAGCGAGCAGGTAGTGTGGCCACCCGCTACCGCGTTTAGGGCAGTTACTGTATATACATAGTACAAACCATAGTGCATCACTACTAGTAACAAGTCTTTACTACCAGTAGAAAGAAGCTAACAGTAGCTATTTGCTGCTAGTAATGCACTTGTTACTAGTAAATCTGCATAGTACAAACAATAGCCATTGCAGAACCGGACCGATCTACTCCGCCCGAGCCCGGGCTCCCAGACCATGTGAGGAAGGGACGATAAGCACCGGCTGCTGGAGCCCATTCAAGGCCTCTCTCGCCTGTCAAATACTGAAAAGTCGAGTCAAGCATCAAAAATCGGCTGAACAATGGCAAAGCACAGCTGCTCCGCGATTCGCCAGACCTGAATACGCTTGCGAATCATCCCCCCACTGTTCTGCTCAGTTGGGAAGATAAGGTGCATGCACTGGTTTCTCATTGTCAAGTTGGAAAAAGGGGTAAACTAAATCTCTTCCCCAGGCGGGTCTGGCTTGCGTGTTGGTCCCATGCAGGGTACAGAACGACGTCTAGAAATGTCATGAAATGTCTATATTGGAGCAAAGAAGGTTGTGATTTGAGCTGACACTGGTCGCTCTGGTTCAGGCTTCAACTCTGTGACTTGATGGCTCCCGTCCTTCGTTTTGGCGGCCAACCACTTCCCATCAAAGCGCAAGAGGTCGCACTGGCGCGCAGAAGCATTGGTTTCTTTCGCACTGTAGAACAAAGGTGTTTTCGATTGAGGACACCCCCCACAACAAAACTAAATGCCTTTCTTCGAACCAATGGGCCTGAAGGTCTGAAATGGAGCTGACCCCTTCGCTTCAACTAAACGTCCATTACCATGAAAACCTACCTGGCCTTCGTCAATATCTACGACATCATCTACAGTACAAGGATGTACAAGGTGGAATCATGTGGAATCTATGTGGAACACATCGATTTTGGCTGGGTTGGCACCATTTTCTGGTGAAAAGTTCTTGGCACGTCCTGCCAACACTGCCCCAACGACCTGCACTCCGGACTACAGGACTACATAACACGCCAGGCTCACCCTCCGATCTGTGGATCGAGGTATAGGCCCAAGCCGGCGACCCGGCGTTGCAACCTTCAGACAAAGTAAGGAATTTGTTTCCACTGAACACACAAACAAACAAACAAACAAACAAACAAACAAACAAACAAACAAACAACCAACCAACCAACCAACCAACCACCCAAACAAACAAGCAAGCAAACAAACAAACAACAACCCTCGCGACTTTAGTTCTTGCACAGCATGTCTTCCAAACAGGATTGACTCACACACCCAATCTTGCAGAGCAGGGTCTCCGCCATATGACATCGGAAATGAAAGTTGGGAGGCTCGCCAACGGACGGTCGCAAAATGCGCAAATGTGGTATCATCGACTGACATTTGACAGCATTTTCTTGTTCATTCTTCAAAGAGTCCACATTCAATGTTTTTTCGTTTTCGCGGACGAATTCGCTCAGTTCGACGGGGTCAACCATGTTTTGAAAAATGTAGACATAGTAAACAATGCCAACAAATTTGAAACTGCAAAGCACCGGCACCTCCTGAAAGACCTCTGCGTCATCCCAAAGGTCCTTCAGAAGCTTGCGCACGATATTGGGATGTTCACCACAGGTGCCGAAACTTTGCGGTCTTCATGCAAGGGAACTTGCTTATTACCCGAGGAACTCGTCTATACACTGTCTCGAAACCTTCAAACATCTTCAAACCCATCCTGCACTGCCTTCAACCCCCTATGGTGGCCACGCCGCTCCTCAGCCGCCCCAACCCCAGCAAGCGCCAATAAAGCCTCGCGAACAAGCTCTAGGGCTTCTTTGGCCATCAACCACCTTGACATGCCTTTGCTGCTAGGCCACTTCAACGTTGAGCGTTTGTCACATGCAACCAACACAGCAAGTTCTACCAAAGCGCACGATTCTAGGGTTCCCGGCCAGCATCTGGCTCAAACTCCAATCGCGCAGGCATGGGGGCCCAATGAAGGGCAGGTTTGGCTTCGTAGGCGCGATAGCATTGAAGTGCTCCATGTTTTTCATGCAGGGGCGGTAGCCCACTCATGAGTCTACTGTCAATGATGCTACTTGTGAGCTTGGGAGGATTCCAAGGCATCACCCTGACGCACCTGCATTTTTAATAAGCTTCCAGCTTGCCAGACATGCATCTTTGGTTCGAATTGCACGCTCTTCGTCGCGGGACTGAGGGGTTTTGAATATGTTTAGACCGCCTTGGCGTTGGGGCGGGTTGCATTAGACCGTACATACTTTATCCTGAGTGTCTCTCTTTCTTTGGCCCGAAGTGAGCCCGAAGCAGTGCCCTCCCCCCCAGTCAACCTGGCGGCAAAGATTCCACCAATTGGTGGACAGAGCAGGCCGCAGCGGAAGAAAGAGCCTCAGCGCAAACGTCACTGTCCGACTTCTCCGACTTGACGACACGGTATAAACAGGAGCAAGCTTCTATGCCTGAAGCGGGCGAAAGGAGCCGGCGTCGCGCATGGCAGAGCATCGAAGATTTGATTTTGAGTTCAAGTGGGCTCGGGCGGGCCCTTATAGTCTGCGCCTTTATTTTACTCACGTCGAAGGTCTTCCTTGGTTGGAGCAGACCCTCTTTGATCATCGTGAACCTTTTTCATGTATGTCGCTCCATGGAATTACAGCAAATAGCTTTGACCATTCTCGTTGTCGCCTCTGCATTCTGGGCTCTACCTTGCCAATCCTCATCTGCTCGCTCAACTTCGTGGGTTTGATGCTGCTGTGGCCAGGATGATGCATGCTCACGCTTCATGTTCTTTACCTTTCCGTCACGGCAGTTGACGGGCTGCATTGGTTTCCCACCTCCTCTGCGGCCACCTTTGAATAACGTTGACGGTTTCTTATTCCGTATTCCTTCCTGATCCTTACTTATATCCCTTCGGCATGACAGCAAAGCAAGAAACGACCTATTTACTTACAATCCTGCCAACCACCCTCTTGATTGGAGTCGTTGACACAGTACAACATTTTTCCGCACGATTCTCCATTCAGCGACACCCTCGCTCTCACTGTTGCTTTACCCATCAGACTACAGCGGCTCGAGCTGCTTTGTACAGACCATTCCCCCACCCAGCTTGACACTCCCACAGGGGCGGTGAGCCCACTCATGAGTCTACTGCTAACGAAGCTACTCGTGAGCTTGGGAGGACATCAGGGCTCATCACCCTGACACACCTGGGGCTTTGACTTGTGAATTTCCTTCTTGGTCCCTGCTTCGCACTAGCACAAGACCTCTTCGTTGGCTTCGGCTTGCAGTAAAGTGAGTGCTAATGAGCTTGCCAGACTTGCATCTTTGTTCGAATTGCGCGTTCCTCGTTGTGGGACTGAGCTTTTGAACGTTTAGGTTAAGATTGCTCTTTAAGGATTTTGAGTATGTCTAGACGGTCTTGCATGCTACCCGGTTTACAGTTTACTTAGGCAATTTTTCATTGGGGCAGGTGGTATTCAGTTCGTACGTACGTACGTACTTTATCCCGAGTGTGTGCGGGTGTGTGTGTGTGTGTGCGTGTGTATGGTCCATAGTTTTCTTCATGCTGCTGGAGTTCAGGATGTTCATAAAGAGGTTTCTTAGACTTCAGTAGGTCACAATGAAAACCTTGGATTGCTGCAATGCTTTGGACTCGAAAGTGCATTGGCTAAGCCTCTAAGTGTCTGTCTCTTTGATTCTCTGTCTCGCTTGCTCAGCAGATTCCGTTTGCCATAATTGCTTTGCCATAATTGCTTTTGACGCGCAAAGGCCACTTTGGACCTTTGTTGAGAGAGAGCTGGTCAGCACCCCACATCGTTTCTATAACAGGTGCTTCCGCCAATTTAAAGTGTTTTTGGTGCAGCCGGCAAGATAAACAACCGAGTCGTGTTCATTCTGCAGGTGTCACGGACCGAAGTAACTTCTCTTCATCGCTAAGGATCGACTCTACTAACACCTTCAACAGTTGACAAAGACCCGACATGCTGGCCCTTTGAGGTATGGATGTGTAGCTTTCCTTGGCACAAATCCCCAAGGGTTGGCTTGACATCCACTTCTTACACAACTCTAATCATAGAACATACAGCCTCAAGGCATTGAGCAACAACGTTCCTGAGATGGACTCTTCCCAAGAAATACACTGCATTTTCATGCATTTTATACTGCGTAAATCCTGCCACACCCCACGCGCCTTCCCCAGCTTCCGGCGCTCCCGCTGCCGGGCGCGTTTCGCAGCCCGAGAGCCGGGCGCCGGTGCCGCCCTGAGTGGGTGGTGGGAACTCCTTTCAAGCAGGAGTTTGGGTTAGAGTCAGTTCGAGGCTTTGCTTTTTAAGCAACCTCAACAGAAACCCTGCAGCATCATCCTGAAAGAAGGATGTTTGGTGGTTCTTCAGCAAATGTACACAGGTTGTTCCGCTGCTCTGTGTTTCTCGCTTAGACCCAGTGCTGCCAAGGTCCCCGACGCTTCCTCCTCCACCGCCTCCTGAGGATCTCCCGGATGAGGGACAGCCTCGTCAGTCGGCGCAGTGGCTGCAGCCCAGGAGGACCAAAGCCTTGTCTCCTGTGGCAAAGTTGGGAGCAGGTGCTGGCAATCTCCAACAAGCACACTCCTGGCTTGAGGATTGAATGATGTGACAACCAGGTACGAGTAACTCCCATGACACTGACAAGCTCACCTTCAGTGGTACCACTGATGCTCCCATGCTTCGCAGTCAAACTCCATGGTCGAACGCATTCGGATTGCCCCGCTCCGTGGGTTCACGAACTTCCCGCTCCACTGGGCTGGCAGGAGCGCCCGCAGGACCCACAGGGCGTGGGAGCGGCTCAGGGCCGACCTGGCATCGGTGCCGGGTGAAGATCAATCGTGATATGATCATCTCTCATTTCAATGGAACAAGGACGCTACTAGGAGCAAAGGGCATCGCTACTAGGAGCCAGGACGGTACTAGGGGATCCCGGGTTGTGAAGGCAAGATTCGACACCACCTGACTCCCAGTGCCCCTAGAAATCCCCAGGGTTCAAGTGGAGCCACACCACCAAAGCCGAGCCTCTTGGGCCCGAAGAACCAGTTGCTCCACCAGCTGCGCCAGCTGAATCTCGAAGGCTGCCCAGGACCTCAGCGCCGTGATGTGGAGTTTGGGAACATCCTGCAAAAAGTAGCGATGGCCTCCACCCTAGTAGCGATAGCCTCCAACCTAATAGCGATGGCCTCCACCCTAGTAGCGATGGCCTCCAAC